CGGGCTGGGCCAATCCTTGCCGCCGTGGACATTCCTGCTTTGGTTCCCGATTCATGCTATTCAGATTTTTACCTGCTTTCGAACTGCTAGGTTGGGAGAAGCTGGGACAAGTAACGGGAGCTCACTTCGCTACGCGGCGCTAGGGATTCGAACCGCCATACTGCTGACCTTTCTGATCAACAAGCTCAGCGTCTTAGCCACTGAGCCATCACGTCCCTCAGTCCTGAAAACCAACCCTCCAGCCCTCCCAAATAAAAATCTGAATAGCATGAATCGGGAACCAAAGCAGGAATATTCACGGGGGCAAGAATTCGCCCAGCCCAGGCCTTGCCAAAACAGAGCACCTACTCTTGAGCCATCCCTGAAGGATAATATACTGTGTCTTCTGCTTCTAAAATTCAATTGAAGGAGCTTCACTGCCTTCCCAGACTTTATGTTTCCTATTATGTAGCTCATACTAATCTCGCTCCAAAGCTTGATGTTTTCCCTTTATCCATTAGTTGTTGCCTTACACTCTGAAACAAATAGCTAGTTTGCTAAATAATCCAGACAATTAGTTCAAGGTTCAGTTTAGAGTTTGGCACACAGGGCAACATAATACAGGGCAAAAGCGACTTCGGTTAACAGAAAATGTCACTTTTGGACCATTATACACCATCGCCGCACCACCGTGGAATGTAAAGTTTACATAAAGGAGGTATTTTTGTTTCATTTGAATTTAATTTCGTTTAATTCTTGTCAAAAATGAATTTAAGACACTGCCATGTACCCTTCTGGGATAAAAATGCAGGTTTCTTCCCAATAAACTTTAGTTTGTATCAATAAAGGAGAATATTTATATCTCAGGGTTGAAATGAGGGGGGCCCTTAGTACTTTCTTGCAGACGTTTCGTTACCCAACTAGGTAACGTCATCAGTGCATCTTAAGAGCAAGAATTGTGCTCTGCTCAGTATCTGGTTTTTCTTTTCTAACCCTCATCTCTTCTTCTCCTCTCAAAAAGAATTCCAAACAAAATGAAAAGCACACCAGACTTTATAGGATGGGGAACAGCCCAGTTGGGGGCCTGACTAGAAATGCTAATTACTATCACAAAATTTACTCCAGAGCATTTGTACAATTTAAATTGTAACAAGTGACAGCACATAACATTCCTGTCCGAATTCAGAGCACGCAAAATTATTTCTAAAAGGATCCTAGGTCCCCCCAAAAAATCAAGTTTCTGTCTATGCAATTTAGAAAATAAAGCACTTAAAGCAAACCTTATCTACTACACAAAATACAGGCAATACAAAATGATGCCCATCAGCTAAACTTCCTTAGGTTATCGCTTGCTTTTTAGAGAATGGCCTATGAAGCCATTAAGTCAAATTTATCTACGTGATGTAAGATAAAATCAAAGGAAGGGCCACGCTCTGCTTACAGACAATCTGAAATTTAAATTTCATCATCTTTTAAATCTTTTTTTATTATCGGGTAACAATTGAAAGGTTTTTACCTGCGTGGACAGATCCGTCTGAACCATTTCCCAGCGACTGGAAGTCAGTTAATACTCCAGAGCTTTCCGCGTTTATAGACGGTGAAAGTTCTTTCATGCTCTCCATCTCTTGCAAAATTTCTTAAGATAAAGGAAGAGGATGTTGATAGTCCTTTAAGGGAACAAAGGGGCAGAGCTGGCTGCATTCTAAGTCCGCCATTTTGATGAGGTCAAGTGTTTCCATTAGCATGAGTCAGATGTCTGAAAGGCAAACAAGGGTTTTGCAAGCCAAACTAAGCCATTCATTCATTTGGGGAAAGGGGTAACCCTCTCTACTCCTTATGCCTAAGCGTTTTGGCCAAGCGTTTTGGTCTATTTGCATAGGGGCCCTCTACGTTTTGGAGGCAACAAAACTCCAGCAATGGCTTGAGGAGGAAACCCTCACCATGAGACAAAGGTCACATCCAAAGATTCATGTGCAATAGCAATAGCTCTTAAACTTATATACCGCTTCACAGTGCTTTACCGCCCTCTCTAAGTGGTTTACAGAGGCAGCATATTGCTTCCAAACGATCTGGCTCCTCATTTTACTGACCTTGGAAGGATGGAAGGCTGAGTCAACCTTGAGCCTGGTGAGATTTGAACTGCCAAACTGCAGGCAGCCGGCAGGCAGCAGAAGTAGCCTGCAGTACCTCATTCTAACCACAGCGCCACCACGGCTCAATACACAAATGCCCTTCCTTGTGGCTGGAAACCTGGGTCGCTGTAAGTGCCACCTCAGGATCTTATTTCTGACAGCTCAAATGTGAACATGAAACTGAAATAAAATTTGCCGTTTGTATCTACCGTTTCCTGAAACTCAACGATTCTGATTGAATGGTGATGGGAGAGGTTGAGGTTGGAGCCTGTGGGTTGTTGCATTGCGCAATGGGTTGTTGTGGGCCATCCAAAGTTGCATTTCAGAGGAGGGACAGGCATAGGAGTCTTTCCCCCAAAATACCATATTTTTCGGACTATAAGACACATCTAAATTTACAGGAGGAAAACAAGAAAAAAAGGTTTCTGGCCTCTGCATGTTGCGTTTTTGCCCTCCAAGGCCCCCAGAAGCACTCTGTTGTCCTCAGCATGGGTCATT